ATTGACTGTCTCTTAAAACCCTTGAATTTGTGTTCAATGAGATCAGAAATATAAATTCACCCATAAAAGATCTAATATCTCATTGAGGTGTCATAAAGATAAGTATGGTTTCAGACCTTCCCATCTGAGAAGGTTTCCCTCGCTCTTCCTAGGTCAGTGCATGTGTTTTGAGATAAGTAGGATGGGCATGATGGTATGGTGAGCAATTTTAATTATTTAATGACACTCCACTGCATGTTTATAATTAATGGGAAAGGAATGTCTTTCCAAAGATAAGTAGACTTTTTTCTTTTTGTTAAATACAAAAATAAATACACGTCTACACTAGGAATACTGAGCGTCATAAATATATCCTATTTAGCTGGTAAATTTTGGGATAATTGAAACTGTTAATACAGAATGTGATGCACATGCTAACATTTCTATTTTACATGCAGTTTTTATCACTCTTGTGCAGACTGAGTGCTGCCGTGCCCCGTGAGAAGTCTCATTTGAATCTTAAAGGAGAATTTAGAGTACAGCTGCACCGAGAAGTGCAGGGACTCCATCAGAGCGTCTGTGTCACTGAAAATGAAAGTACTGAGCACTGCTTGGAACGCTGCAAGGAGCCAAGCAGCAAGGAGCTATCGTTATCACTCAAAATAAATCGCACGTGAAAGAATATAATTGGTTTGTAATGCAGGGAATGAATTTAGGATGCATCAAGGTGTTTGGCATCCCCGAATGGTTTGTGTTGGTTGTGATGGGGCTCTAACGTCCTCAGCTCTTCTCAATGTTGGTGGAGCTGAGTGCTCTCCTCATCTTGGGGAACGATTGCTGGCAAGGTTTTTTGATAGCTTTTTAGCACAAACAGTATTCTGTGGAGGGATGTTTTCCAAATCACCAAGGACAGCAAACAGAGCATTTCCTGGAGTGTATTGCAGAATTAGTGGAGTATATTCGACTAAGCATATGTTGCATTTTATTTTTCTATATCTTGCTGAGATATAGGTTGAGTTCCATGACAGTATTTCATTTTCAGAAACCTTTGAAAGACATTCTATGAAAGACAGGAGATAAAGGACATATAAAGCCCAGAACAATATGTCACCTAAAAGTTCAGATCGTGATTGATAAGAGTGGGCTTTTTATTGTTGACTGTTAGCTGAATAATAGATTGTTATTTCAATATGTTTTGACTGGAGCAATTTGTCTTGAAGCTACTTTTTTCACCTTTTTCTTCTAGGTCCTTTGCAAAATAGCTCTGTAATTTGATATTTTTAATACACAAACGCAGAAACTTTTTTCAATGTTGAGCTGAACCACATGAAAGCCTGTCTTCAGTTTAGAAAATGATAAAAGACTCTGAATGCAGAAGAAATGTTTGATACAGAATAGTTGCTACCAACATTATGTGGCAAAAGGAAAAATAAGTTATACTGAGGAGGAGGTGTGCTGACTATCTTATCTAAAAAGGCGTTGTCACAGTTCTGAAAGCAATGGTGTGTGGAACAATTTCCAGTTTTTCACAGCAGAAACATGCAAGTTATTTAGTTGTCAGAAACTGCAGCAAGCATCTGTGCCAGTCATGGTGGTAAGGATCCTTTCAGTGTCCGTGTCCCACCTTAAAATGTATTATATTCCTGAACTATCGTTCAGGCATGTTCCATGGCATGTTCCTTTCTTCATTTTCTTCTATGGAGATGACAGTGCAGAAATGACTCTAATGTATGTAATAGTTTTAAAAGAGAAATAGAGCGAGAGCTTTGCTCAGCAGGTCTGTTCTTCTTGGAGACCCTTCCTTTTTCTTTATTCTGTAATTGATTCTCTTTATTCTTAGAGAAAGATCTTTTTTCTACTACAACCTTCTTCACTTTTCCTCAGTTGCACACTATTCAATAAATGTCACTTCTTTTGACAGCTAAAATAATTCATTACCCATGCTTAAAAGATTAACCTTAGCTTAGTCCTTGAATACAACCATATCTTCAAGGCATGGAATATAAGAAATGTTTGAAAAGATTTCAGAAAAGAAATTTGTGCTCTAAGATTTGTGTCATGAAGAAGACAAACAGGTTTTGCTGTAGACAAATGAGAGAGGAGAACATGTCTGGATCTGTAACCACCTGAGCCCTCAGGGTCTTTGCAAAACTTGAGCATAAATTGCCATATTTGTTCCGATTAGCTCAAGTTCTACTAAACATCCAAAAAAGGCATCTAAACAAGAACAATTCAGCTGCTTCAGTCTTTAACAAAACTGCTATAGCACCCTAGGAAGGCTGTGCTTATTATTTAAGAAGGTTGAATCAAGGCACCCTAAATTCTCATATTTTTAATTTCAGATAATGGTTGTGTTTCAGTTTGTCAATTGCAAGCAGGCTGAATTAGGAAACCTCTTACTTTTTTAAAAGGAACACTATGAATAGATAAAAATAAAACTAACTTGAGTAACTTGGAGAAAAATGTCAGCATTCTGCCTGAGAGCGACCTCCTGTGATGTTGGTGTCCTTTGGCTGCGAAGCTCTTGCAAAGGTAGTAATACCTTTCTCTCAAAGATTTTAATAGTTTTGCATAAACATTTAGATAGCAATTTTATTACAAGAAAAGAGGAGAATTTAAAGTGGGATATAAAGTGCCCTTCCTGTTGTGACGGCGTGTTTTTTTGTTAAAGCTATCAAAATGACTTATTAGTTTAGTGTTTCTTGTTAAAAGGTATTCTGTCTAGCAATTTATTTTTAAATGCTTCTATTCTAAATCCCTGCCAGCCCTCTGATAACGTTAGCTGATGCGCTTTTCAGAAATGATAGACTTTGCAGTGTTTCTGGAAGGGTGGCACACCACTTTGTCCCAGCTCTGCGTTGGCACCAGCTGTGCAGGACTCTCCACTCTCACAGCTGCTAGCAAAGATCTCCTAGGGCTCTTTGCACCGTGATTTAACTGCTTATGGCCCTTGCATCCTTACCTCTAGCAAAATAAGATACATAAGAGAAAACAAGAGCTTTGAAGCCAACAGTTTGTCTTATTGTCTTACCAGCGCCTACCTGAATAATTCTACCTTGAGTGTCATTCCTTTGTTACTGGATTAATTTTTCCATCAAACCCTACTGAAATTTAAACATTATGATATTTAAGCAAGTATTCTACTAAGTATAAAAGTAGATATATATCTTTATAGAGAGATATTTATAGTAGATAGGTATATCATGACTATTTAGAGAAAATAAGGAGTTATCAATGTTCTTAGAATATTCTTTTAGTGTCTCTGTGCTTTCAATGATAATCATAACATTATTACAGCTCACTCTATTTCTGTCACGCTTAGCACTTCTCAGAAGAGGCTGATACCTTGCATGATCAAACTCCTTATCATAAGATATAATAAAAAAATCAATTTGGGCCATAATTATTAGTATATGTGTGATTCTTTGCAGAGGAGCAGCATTTTTAATGTTAATCACCACAGGCTTGGAGAATGGAACTGAATATTATCTATAATGGAAATTTTATAGAAGGGAAATTCATCTGTAGCATAAAGTGGCTATGAATCTCACAGGCTTCTGCCGGCTTGTGCTGTTAGCCAGCAAGAATTTGCTAAATTTCCTCATGAGTGTTTGAATGGAAACGGAGTCATCAGAGGGATGTTTTGGACCACGGTTGCTGAATAATTCCAGTCAAAATAAGAGCATCTGAAGCCCCTCTCGAGGGTGCGAGGGTTGCACATTCAGATGGTCGAGTTCATGCATGTGAGCAAGGTCACGGCTGTGTGTTCTCTTTGGTCTCTTCCCTTCGGAGAGGATTCGTGGTACCAATCATAAAAACCTAGAGTTTGCAACAAATACTGTCCATCAGGGTTTGAGTTTTGTGCAGTATCTGCTTCTTATCTAACTAGTCTGCTGCTATCTGGAAATGTACCTTCCATGTGCCAAGCAGAAATACGCTGGAACTCTATACATGTAAAGTTACTGGAAGTCTGGTAAATGTCATCTAATGCTTCTGTCTGATAGTAGTTTATAATAAAAAGAATTTATCTTTATACCGGTCACAATTCTCTATTCTGAGAAGACGGAGTAATTTCAATATATCATAATAACATGAATATTGTGAAATTACGCTATTTTCATACTGTGGTCTGTAGTATTAATGAAATGATCTAGGTTAAAATAAATCTCCCAAGTTTAGAAGTTAGCAAAATATCTGCTGTTTTATAAACATATGTATATATATGTATGTATTATATACACCTAGAAAATATATACACATATATATGCACAAATATGTATACACATAACAAAATATTTGACTTCAGGGAAAGTATGTACAATAGCTGCTAAGATTTAAAAGCTTTTAGTCCTTCAGGTTATTAGTACATCATATTATATGCTGTCTCATATTCCTCCACAACACTGATCTTTTGACTCCTGATACGTCAGGCCTTGGTATTTTGCACGTTAATGACAGTTTTTTAATTTCAGTCGACTTCAACAGAAAATTTCTACCTGAAATGACAGCAGTATAAGACTCCACATCAGATTTGCTTCTCTCTACAGAGATCTCTGAGATCAGAGGTTACTGGAAACTTCCTGATGAATTAGGAAGGTTTATTAACAAATGGTTTAGGTTTTTTACCAAAATTATTTTTATCAAAAAAAAAAATTGAACTCACCAGCTTTCCCTGAATTTCCAAGAAGTCTAGGCAAAGTCATAGTTTATTTGCCTAATGCATACGGTTTTGCATTCTTTTACAAATCCTTTTGTTAAACTGTAGCACAGGTTTGTCTGGCTGAGGCCTTTACTGTGAAGGTCAGCAAAGGTTCAGGGACAGGTGAGATTACCAGAGGCTCCGTGCATGCCATGCATGCAGCGTTCAAGCCCTGTTTCAAGCCTGTTGTTTAAATGAATGCAGGAAATATTTCAATAATTAGGATAGCAGTGCTCAAATGTTTTAAAGACTATGACTATAATAATGGTACAAGTATTTATAATTCTCATGCTTTCCCTTTTTTCCCTTTTTTTGAACACAGGTTTTTCATTATTCTTACACAGCTTCATATGTGATTTATAACATACACACAAGGTAGGTCACATTGTTTTGTCAATATCGTATGATTTGCAATGCTTCTATAAATACGATGATACCAGTGTGTTCAATTAAAAATGTTTGCATTTTTTCAAGGGAAGTTTGGGAGTTAAACCCTCCAGAAGTAGAGGATTCAGTTTTACAGTATGCAGCATGGGGTATCCAAGGACAGCAACTGGTAAGTACAATCATTAAAAATGTTATGATGCAAGGAGTTTAATACTGTATTTACTCCAGACAGACGGAAGTATCCAAAGCCTTAAGAGTAGTTACGTTGTAGATTTCTGCTGGGGGTTATGGAAATGTTATGGGCTTTAGGTGGTTTTCTTTAACAAAAAGTACATTTAAAAAAAAAAAAAGTTTAAGTCTAATTCTCACAAGCAAAGTCTTTAATTGCACAATTATAGAAAGAATTAAATGCTCATCTAAATATGCACTTGAGTGATTCTCAAAATAAGTATCTTTATGGAAGCTACTGTGGGAGAAGGAAAATTAAAGTGAAGAGAAGTTTTCATTCGCAAGATCATTGAAAACCTTGAGCATGTGCAAGAAGCTTATCTAAAAGTGGGTATGATGAATTCGCATTCAACGAAATTGTTTTCAATGAATTGTTTTTGTTTCAGTACAAAGATGACTGCCAAACTCATTTGATCTGCATTACATTCACAGTAAAAACAACAATGCTGTATTTCATCTATTGTGTTTTACCAGAAGCTTTACAATTCTTTTTGAACATGTGTCATCCTTTGTGACCCACTTCTATATGAGAAGAAAATGTTGATTCTAGCAATGATTTTAAACAGATCTAGGTTGCTGGTAGATGGATGCAAGAAAAAGACTTAATAAAAACTACAAATCTCTGAGTAAGAAATTTAGCTAGTTACAATGTTCTAATAAGCTCATTAAAGCCTGCAGGTGTTATCTCATCTTTGCGGATGTGACTTGTTCATGCAGAGAGGTTGTAAGTTGGATGGAGATGCTCTGTTGCTGAAATCATTCATCAAAATGGTGGGAATGTAAAAAATGTTCCTATTTGGAATGTATTGCATTAAGCGAGTAGAAGCAGGAAGAAGAAAGTAATTGGAACATGCATGGTATACCTTAATAATTAACCACATTCATTTATTCGCAACAAGAACATAGTGACAGGATTGATGATAACAAATATGTAGATTATTTACCAGGCAGTATTGTGGAATGCTGCAACCTGTGTAGGCTATAACAGAAAGGTGGTGCATCTGCAAAACTGAGAAGAACAGAACATATTTTAAATTGCAGCTCATAGGAGGATTTTCTGTGCTGTGCCTCTGATTAGTAAATTAAGATACAACCAAAAAGTACGTGCAGTAATTACTGAGGAAAGAATTATCTGCTTCCCTGAGATGTATCTTAAGGATGGAGATAAACCTAGGTATTATAAGGTTTGGAAAAATAACAAAATTTTATCCATTTTTACCTGGACTGTCATTATGAAAATAGGTGGAAATATTTTCACATAACGCCCAAGCCAACTCATATGTGAGTCTCATACTAGTGAAAAAACAGCCACTGTTTTAGGTGCAACCTTACTCATGCAGATTTTAAAATGTTAGCATAATTTATACTTCTGTAAGGGCAACATTACTCATCTTTGTTCATGTTCCCAACACAAGTAATGTCGTGCTTTAAAAATATCTCCTCCACTGTAGGCTTTATGGTGCCATATGGTCTGCAGAATTAGGAAATAATAACTTCCATTAAAACACAAAATCCTGTGCGCACTCTGAATGGCACCAGGTGTTATTCCATAGATGTAAACCTGCAGTGAGAATATACTTGAGGACTGCTTCCCCAAGAGTCTTAGAAAATTACGGGGAATAATGTTCTCTTAAAGCTTTTATATGGTAAAAGGAAGTTTCTAAAGTGACAGAAGTGCATTGCCACGTTACCCTTCCACTTCAGCAGCAGCAAAGGAAGTAGAAGGAGCATGAATGAAGAAAAGCTGTAGTGAGTAATGGCTGTTACTGCTGTCCAAAGGGACAACTGCCTCTTAGCTGAGACAGGGGAATGTGGATAATTCCAGTAGACGAGCCTGGGCAGAAAGCAGGGGGATCTGGGGACTTGTTGCCATAATGGTTCTCAGTTACAAAATCTGTCATTTGAACAGACACTTTATCTGTAAATTTTGAAATGAAAAGACAATATTGGAAGCATTCTGCAGTCAGCCTCGATGAGGATGAAGTCATAAACTGGAAGAAGTAAAGCATGGTCATCAGCAGTGCTTAACCAACTACAGTGCAGGAATCCTTATTTGAGTTCCACAGTGAGCGAGAAATGTCTGAATTTCAGAGAGGTAATGTTAGAAGATGAAGATGAAAAACAAAAAGGTGAAACATTTGAGCCGGGCAGTTTATCTAAAGTCTGGAACTGCTGCATGGGGAAGGGCCACAAAACTACCTGACATCCCTTCCTCAGTCGCTGGTGAGACAGCAGACCAACGTGCAAGTGCAGGAGAGCAGAAGTAGGTATACATCAGCTGTCAGGTGGCTGGGTCATAATACTGTTGTTTCAAAGCTACCACAGCGCTTGTGAGTTATTTTAGTTTCTTGCTATTTACCTAGAGCGGAGGATTTTGTAAAGATTAAGAGAAAAGCTCAGAGAAACATCTGCTGTTTGAGTCATGACATTTCGGTGGTGAAATTGAAAACATTTGCCATTTGGGAGAACAAACTTTTATCTAATGAATTAATGTATTTTAATGTCACATTGCTGTTATTTTTGAGGACTGGTTCCAAGGTCACATTTTTTCAAATGCGGTCTTTTACTGGTGTTAGAAATGTGCTGTGTGCAACACCCCCTTTCCTGGCTCTGCATCTGTTAGGGAGCTGTTTTTTGTTCAATATTTGTCATATTTGTTCAGTCTGGTATTTGGCTGAGATTTTGAAAAAGGCCAATTTATTATCTGTTTATGTAATTTTTATAAAATGCATTGCCACAGCAGTATTTCCAGGGAAAATAACCATCACGACTAGATACCGAGTTGATTCCATGGATGTTTTTCTTGTTTACTTTGGTTCTTTGCATGTGCCTTTGCATGTGCTCTTTCGAGCTATACCAGAGCTGGTAGGAAGCCTTTATCAAGGAGGCTAGTGTGGTCTTTAAAGGGGTTCTCGTGATGCAATACCCGGTTCTCATCCCCGACTCTTTCAGCCATATCCAACAGTTTGTGCCAAGAGAACTCAAACTTTCAGGGGGCACATCATCCAATTCCCATAAATCCTAACAGTTTCTGGAAACTCTAAAGACAATCTTTGTCACCAGAGATTGCTCCATGCTGCAGAGGTTCCCATTTCTCCAAGCTGGACCTGGCTTGTGTTGGCCCAGGGCAGCAGGGAAAAGGGAGCCAACTTCTCCAGCTGTAGGAATCCGTGGAAGTGCAGATAAAAGCCTAAGTGTGAAAGCTGGCCTCCTATCCCCAATCCCATTGCCTGTGAAAGATGGAGCGTTCCTCCTTCTGTGGTGGGGATAGCTCTTACAAGAGGTCCTCTCATTGATGGTTTCAAGTAGCTCCCATTGAAGCAGGTTTTGAAGCAGCTCAGTTTGATATTGCTCAAAAGCTCCAAGTAGTTTAAGCTTGTTGTGCCTGGCTTCTCTACATGGTTTCTGTGTGATGTTCTTTATTTTTGCTTTATTCTGTGAATGTTCATCCACATAAGTCACTTCGCCTTTGCATTTTGTTATTTACTACTTTGAGCTCATTATTCTTGTGATATATTAAGTGCTTTTGAAGGTAACTTGAGTTATATATATGGAAGGATCAGCATAAATAATGAACAATTGACTTATTTACGCACAGACATTCATGCATAACTGTGTATTTTAATACAGCAGAAATAAAGAAAACGGTTAAGCTATCCAGAATGACTAAAAAGATCACTCTGTAGAAGCTTGATAGCTTGCTTTGCCAAAATTTGATGCCATCAACAAAATACAGCTTTATCAAATAGTATGACTGTTAGATGAGCTTGTACTATGCTTAAAAATAATTGAGGTCAACATTATGTAGAATTACCTATTATCCTGTATACACAAAGAACAGCTGTTGACTGTAGCTGAATTATGGATTTCAGTTCCACCTCTACTCCGTTGTCAGTCATCTTTATGCTGGGATGTTCTGTTTTTCCTTCCTCGCTCAGTAATACCTGCATCCCCTAAAAATGCTTATATCTTTCCGAGTTTGTTAAATTGTTGCATTGATGTGATATATTTCTTTATAGCTGCCTTCTCTTCAAACTTTTACCTTTTTTTTTTTTTTTGTGTGTGTGGCTTTCACATATTCTTTTGCGTAATAGAAATACTGCATCAAGCAAGCTCTTTGCTGGTGTATTATTTGCCAAATACCCAGAAAAGCTCAGGACTAATTTTAGTAAATGAGAAATTAGCAGGACTGTATTAGACATATACCTTGCTGAACAGATGTTTTAATAGCTATTAGTTGCTGAAAGCTTCATTTACTTTATTTTAACTATTACTCTACTCTGTTTTCTATATCAAGCTTCAAAGTACAATTCCTATAAAAGTTGGTAACTTAAGTTTCTGGAAACTTATTTGCCATGTGTCTTATTTTTGCATAATTAACGCTGTGGGTACTTGGCACCCCCTCCTGGCAAAAACACTTCCATTTGCAAATGAGGAAGAAAAAAGATCTCTCAGGGTACGTCAGCCAAGTAGGAGTTTAATTAATGCTAATGAAGTAAGCCCTAAGTAAATATATCTAATGTGCTGTTTTTATTTTTCAAAGTGTTCTGCTCCTTTGACTTGCTGTATTTTTAGATGATTAACTTAAAATCACATATGGAAATGTCAAGGCTTTATTTCATCTTTCCTTCTAATCATGATGCTAATGAGGCAAATGGCTGTAAAACTGGGAGGAAAACGTCTGCTTGAAATTATTTTGAAAACCAGAAATAAACAAGAACATTTTAGTGTGACACTAACCTCAGGTGTGACTTCTTAAAATAAATGAGGGGCTCCTTGCACAACTTCTGGACTTCAAAGTAGGCTTTGGAGATCCTATATCTTCCATGGGCTGTTTCCATGAAGTAAGGGAAACCTGTAGGTTCAGCATTGCCTAGTTAAACCTTTAAAGAATATGAGTGTAATTCGAGCAAATGCTGAAGTCAAGTCTGTCTGAAGGCA